GGCTTGGGAAGTCTCTTTTTGGGGGGCTGGAGTCCCCATGCCATTGGCAGGGCAGAATGATCACCCGTGTCACGAGAGCACCAGGCCTCAGCACAGCCCCTCACCTCTCCAGGGGCCGGTGCAGCCTCCTCCACCGTGGGTAGGAGGACTTGGGCTCTGTGCCCCCCCCGGTCATCCGAGCCTGCTTTGCCGCCTGGGCCGACCGCGTGTCGATGATAAAGCCCCGTTCCCCCTCATCCAGAACTGTCCCTAGCAGGATCTCATCCTCGCGGCAGCGCTTTCGGTTGGGGCCTGTCAGCGGCTGGCTGCTGCGGAGCATCACCTGCGGGGTGAGGGATGGTGGGCAGCGAGAGCCGGGGGCACCAGGGGAACCCCACAGGATGGGGGGCTTCGAGCCGCCTTTGCCCAAGGGGTGGCGGTGGCGGGAGAGGGGACGAGGGGCAGGATGGGGAGAAGGACTCACGGTGCCGTTCTTGGGGTGGTAATAACTGAGGACAGGGAATCGCCCACCCTGCCGGAAACGGGCAGCCTTCCGCAGGGTGTCATCGTCCACCGCCGCCGGCACGATGACGGCGGGAGGGTACGTGGGGCAGGTGGTGAAATCCCGGTTCACCTCGCTCAGCCGCCACTGGCTCGACTGGGGAAGACGTGGAGTGGGGGGGCTGCCTCGGGTGCCTCCCCAGCAGGCAGCATCAGCCCCGGCAGGCAGCCCGGCATGGGTGGGGGGAGCTGCTTCCCGGCCCAGCCGGGTTTCCCCTCCAGGCTCACCTGGGAGGCGATCTGTTGGAAGTACTGCTCGAGAGGGAAAAGGTGCCATCCTTCCTCGAGCTTCAGGCTCTGGGGTCTGTAGAAGAACGGGTACATCATCATCACAGAGTCCACCGAGGAGAGGGCCTGGAGCGAGAGCAAAGGTGGAGCTGGTCACGGGTGGGGAGCACGGAGATGGCTGGGAATGTCCCCACCGCGTCCCCAGGGCAGCCTCTGCAAACCCCATCCCCGTTCTTGGATCCTGGCCATGGCCCAGCTGCAGGCGAGAGCTGGGCAGGGAGGTGCTGGCACCACCAGCCCCGTGGGCACCCTGTGCCAACACGGGCCAGGAGCTGAGTGTTTACCCACGTTAATGACAGACCGAGAGCAAACACCGCAAGCGGCCGCTTTCTCCTGCCCACCCTTTGCACCCCGGCGCGTTCGGGCCAGGCTCTCCAGCCACCCGGGAGCTCACCTCGATGGAGCTGGCGATGTTGAGACACTCCTCCATGCCTGGGATCTCCAGCTGCAGCACCTTCAGGTCTTTGCACCGGAGGGTGATGGTGCCAGAGGAGCCAGCGAGCCTGGGGGAGGCAGAAGGAGGGTCAGGGCTGGCTGTAGGTCTGTGCAGGCAGACAGACAGACACGCGACGGCGCTGAGCTGCCCTCTCCCCCCAGGAATGTTGAGCAGGACAAAGTGGGAGGGCTGTGCCGGTGCCGAATTGCTGGCTCTCATCTGGCACCGGTGGCACGCCTGTCTGAAGCTGGGATTTCCACTGTCTCCCTGCCCTGCCCGGGGCCTGGTGGGCGCCATGGTGGTTAGCACAAAGCCGGGCACTGCCGGGCGGGTTAGCAGAGCCGAGAGAGTGTTAAAAGCCAAACCTGGTGTCTCGTGGGGAGCCGTTAGTCCGGGGGGGCTGGTACCAGCTGAAATTCTGCACTCTGAGGCACGGAGGAGAAGAGGAGGTCAACGCCCGGTGCCGCAAGCATCAGCGGCGTGGGCGGTGGGGAAGAGAGGGATGAGGCTCGGCGGGCAGCGCCGTGGGGTGGCTGTGCTCTGCCGTGGGTGCCGGGAGAGCCGCGGGGAATGTCCTCCGGCTAAGGCAGGGGTGACACCGCTAGAAGGGAGCTCGGGGCCAGCCGTGGGGAGAGACCCACCTCTTCTCCACGGCATCCACGTTGCGGATGAGCAGCCAGAGCTCCACGGTGCCGGGCTGGGCGTCCCCCCCGGGGCAGGAGGAGAGGAGCAGGTGGTGGCTGGTGATGCACAGGGTGCCCTTCACCGCCGGCAGCCCCGCGCACGACAGCAGCACGCTCTCCACCGTCGCCGTCTTGATCAGCTCGGAGAACTCCATGGCGGTGCCGGTGGCCGCCGAGCCCCAGCTGTAGCCTTCCTCTGCCGGGCACAGGGACCTGCCGCCGGCGGCTGCTGCAGAGCTGGAGGGAGAAAGGGGAAATCCTGCAGCAGGCCCAGCCTGGAAACCCCCTCTTCCCTCTGCGTCACGCTGGGCCTTTTTAGCCTCACCCCCGTCTTGGTGTTTACATTGTCACCTATAGCATATGGAGCTTCCTCGCCGCAAAATGCAGGGCGGCGTGACTTATTTCCTCCCCCGGCAATGCTGCCATTGCAGATGGGGAAACTGAGGCACGGGGCAGAGCGGGCTGAGCTGGCCCGGGGCTCCCTGGCCGTGCCCAGACCCTGAGCCGGGTACCCCGTGCCTGGTGCTGGCTGCGCTGCAGAGTGAAGGGATTTTTGGCGGCTGGTGAAAATGCAACTGCTGCCTTGCAGGGAGCAGCTCTGGGTCCTTTCCTGCCTGCGGTGGGGCCTGTCGCGCTGGGGTGCTGCGTCAGCCACTGCCAGAGCCCCCAGCACCAGCCTGACCCCGGCTCCCACGGGCTCTGCCTGCACCCACAGCCACCCCCCGGCCCAGGGAAGGAGCAGAAGGTGCTGCCAAGTGCCCTGGGTGAGGAGGAGGAGGGTGAGAGGCTGGCAGCGCTGCTTGCCCCAGCCACCCCGGTGCTTACCTGCTCAGGCTCGGCGGCAGGCAGGGACCCCAGGGTGCAAGCGGGGGTCTTGGGGTGCAAGCAGGACACTGTGGGGTGCAAGCAGGGGACTGTAGGGTGCAAGCAGGGGACTGTGGGGTGCAAGCGGGGGTCTTGGGGTGCAAGCGGGGGACCTCAGCATGCAAACACCGAGCCGTTGGGCATAAGCAGGGGAACGTCAGGGTGCAAGCAGGGATCTTGGGGTGCAAGCAGGGGACCTTGGGGTGCACGCAAGGATCTCGGGGTGCAAGCGGGAGCCTGCGGGGTGCAAGCGGGGAACCTCAGAGTGCAAACAGGGAACCGCTGGGGCATGAGCAGGGGACCTCAGCGTGGAAGCCGGGATCTCGGGGTGCAGGCAGGGGTGTCTTCACAGAACGCACACCCACACACGTACTGAGTGGTGTGTATCGTCACTGTGTTCAGAGTTATTCTGAAATAATCTATTTCTCTCTTTGAGGAAAGAGAGGAGCACATTCCAGAAAAAAGTTTTGAGAACTAAATTGAATTTTCCCTTATTTCATCCTTGTGTTCCTTTCCTTTTTTTTTATGTAATTCCTATATCATCTACTATAGTAAGCCCTGTTCCCCAACTCCAAAATAATTAATTTGCTTGTGAAAGCTAATAGTGTATATGGAGAATGTGTTCTTTGCTGAAACTGAGCAGTTTAATCTTTTATTTCTGAAATCTGTGGAATCACTTCATTGTAACACTATTATATTTCACAAATAGGAAATAATTTCATTTGTCTGTAAATCTTGTTTAATCACTTTTAGATGCAAAGGCACACACTGGGAATGAAACCCAGTTAAAACCTTTTAAAAAGAGATTCAGCTAAGCTTCTGGGACTTCATGACCCCATGACTCTATTTTTTTTCCCCCATTTGTCTACGAGCTCTGTATATGTGCCTGCAGTGAAGATAGCATGTTACGTAAATGAATGAGCAATCTTAGAAGATCCACAAGGGTAATTGGAACTGGTCCTGTAGCCTATTTGAAGAAAAGAAAAGGAAAAAAAAAAAAAAAAAACACCAAACCTGGCACCGAACAAAACCAAAAAACCCCTCCTTCGCACTCCTCTGGATAAGGAGAGTTCCTGCCCGTTAGAGCTGTCCCCGGCGTCCCCAACCTTTATTGTTCTGGGGGTGAATAAATAGCTGGGAACTCTGCGGGGAGTGGGTGTCTGTCTGTCTGTCTGTCTGTGGCCAGGGTGCTCCTTGCCTTGCGGGTGCAGTGGGGCAGAGGCTCCGTTTGCACAGGGGCTTTCAGGGGGGAGAGGTCACCCAAGGGTGTCGGGGGGCTCCGGCGGGTGTCACCATGCCCTTCGGCCACCTGAAGTTCAAGGAGCTGGGTGAAGAGGAGCCCACCTGGGAGGAGGAGAGCCTGGACAGCGTGAAGGCGCTGACGGCCAAGCTGAAGCTGCAGACGCGGAGACCTTCCTACCTGGAGTGGGAAGCCCGGGTGCGGGGGCAGCCCTGGCGTAGCCGGAGCCCCGGGGAGGGGCGGGGGGCAGAGCAGGGCCCTGGGCACCCTAAGGATGAGCGGGACAGCAGCGTCTGTGGCTTTGCCACCGTGGAATCGGCTCTGGAGTGGCTCAGGACGGAGCTGGTGAGTAGCTGCCGGTGGGATGAAGGGCAGGAGGGGTGGGCAAGGGCTGAGCCCCAAGGCAGGGCCAGGGCCGGGGGGCTTGCAGCCCGACCTCACGCAGCAGTGACAGCGCGTGCCACGACCAGGGCACTCCAGCCGCAGCGCAGCAATTTGTTCCTTTGCCCAGCACGGCTGGTGCGTGGATTTTTGCAAGGCACGCGTGGCTCTGCGGTGCCCCAGCTCTTGCCCCCTTCCTGCCTGCTCTGCTGGTGGCACAGCTATGGTGGGCTTTGTTGGTGTGGCACAGCCACAGTGGCTTTCATGGGGTGGCACAGGCAGCAGCGTCCACGTGGGTACAAACCCAGGGGCATCTGAGCTGACTCTGGGCTGTGACCCTGGCACCGACCCTGTGCCGATGCCAGGGCTGTGTGCGTGGGCTCTGTACTGATCCCAGTGCGCACGTGGTCCCTGGTGGGTTTGTGCCCTGCCCCAGCCCCAGTCCTGCTGCCCCAGTGAAAAACCCGTCCCCCTGTGCAGCGGGAGATGCAGGCTGCGGACCAGCGCCTGGCATAGCAGCTGATGCGCCTGCGGGCGCAGCTGCACCGGCTGAAGGTGGAGCAGGCCTGCCACCAGCACAAGGAGATGCTGGACGATGCTACCTTCGGCCTCGAGGGCTGCGAGGAAGATTCGGACCTGCTCTGCAACATCCCACCCAAGGCCGCCTTCCTGCTCTCCATGCCGCTCAAGCACATCGGCGTCACCCGCATGAACATCAACTCCCGACGGTTCTCGCTCTGCTGAGCGTGGTGGGATCCCACAGACCGCTCAACTCTGAGCCCAGAAAGGAACCTCATGGGCACCCATGGGTGCATCCGGACCTGGTGGGGCTCACGGATCCCTCCCCAAATGCTTCGGGGACTGTGAAGCTACTGCCAGGGCTGAGCTCCCTTGCAGCAAGCGATGCTGAGCTGTGGTGCAATGCCGTGCCACGCTGGCATGGGAAATGCCACCGTCCCCATCGGGCATGGGGTGTTTTGGGGCACCCAGTGCCCTGTCTCTAAGGATGGTGGAAAATGTGGGAAGCAGCCCTTTGAGGAGGAATAAAAGGAGGTGAAGGTGAGAGCTGATGTTTTTTTCTTTTGTTGCATGCACCCGGGCACCTGCCTGTGCCCCCAAATGCGGCTCCTGACCCTTTGCTGTGGGGGACATGGGGGTGGCAGGAGGGACCACGCTGCCATTGCTCCTTCCCTGGCTGCTCCCGGGGGCTCTGGCTCACAGGGTGGGGTGGCTTCTCACCCTTTTCTGCTGCAGGACGGTGCCATGCTGGGGAGATGGCACCTCTGCTTCGGGGACCTCACCGCCAGCCGCTCCCCGGGCGCCCCTGGCAGCGGGTGGGTGCTCGGGCTGCGCCGCTGCAGGAAATGCTCGTCACCAAACTGGCTGCGAATTGAGGGGTTGTTTTTAACA